ATCGTCGTTCTCTGAAAAAGTTCTATGGAAGTGTTTTGTAAAGAGTCCTCCACGGGAAAACCATCTCACTATACAAAAAAGCTATAAGGCTCCATACTTTGCAGCACCGTCCACCAGCGACCACCATCGTTTCATGTGTTCGCGAGCAGCAGCGACCAGGAAACCATAGACATCAATTTAACGGACGCCGGCGGCCACCAGTGTCTACCAGCGTGCAGCAACGGATAGTATGAGGGAGTAGGAAGGTAGCAGACTGCAGTGTACATTATGGGAAAGGGGTTAGACACAGGGTACAATCGTGATGTGAGAAATGGTGATGTCAGTACGACCACCCCGCCTCGAAGGAGGGTCTCGGTACGACCGCCCCTCTCCCAACAATGACCATATACGACCCGGCTCGACCGGTCCCGCCCCTCAGCGAAAAGTACGACGCTCCCTTGTTTGAGTGCAACATGCGTGTCCTGATCAACAGCGGTCTTAGGCGGTGCGATTGCACATGCGTAATCGTGGCATGTGCAATCGCACCGTATTACTACACAATACCGTACATTACATTGCATAATTCTTGTTCTGCCGGGTGGCAGTTATACGGTGGGCGGTCTTGCACGACGATGTACACCACGACGCCTAATTCAAATGTCTGCTCCCTCCTTTTCCCCGCACCCTCCAGGGAGTCGTGGAGTGGAGAGCACGGGAAGTAGAAGTCTGCTCGATTCCTACTTCCCCAGCGCGATACGGCCTGGGCACTCCGCCGCCTGGTGTTCACTCTATCGATATCCGTAGTTTCCTAGTAGCTCTTGAACGCTGCCGCAAAGTATGCAGTCTAATCAAACACTCGTATATTAAGAATATAGGAACTGAAGCAAACACGTTCTCGTTGATCTATTGATCTACAGAAAAACAACCCTCGCCCCCAGATGCTAACATTAGATAGACGAAACCATTCACCTTTCTCAAAGCTGAGATACTCATAAAATGCTTCCAGACTGTCGTCGGTTTCAGCGAGCTTCAGTTCGAATTTTGAGAACTCCTTCATTTCATTAACAGTGGCCTCATGAATTTGACGAATTTCGTCGTCTACCTGTTCGCCTGGAAAACTCGACTTGCGAATGCGATTAACTGGTTTTAATCTATTAGAAACTCTTAGAATCTGAAAGGCAGACAGTACATCGCTAATCTTTACGAAATAAGACCTGCAAACTCTAGGTAACTGTTCCAGGTGTCAGCGATGTCGACGCTGGGTACACGCAGGGCTCGTTTATACAAAGATGCGACGGTTTTCCGCTGCTCCTCGTTGTTTTCATCACCTAAAAATTGAGGACGATATTGAAAATATTGAAATTTTCTTCTCTCAAACCTACTCCAACTTCAGCCTAGACAGCGTATAAATGGGCATTAAGACTAAAAACTCAAAAAAATACATGAAAAGGGGACAAAACTGCGGCATAAATTTGAAAAAGAAACTACAGCCAACCTTCGTAAGAATTAGTAACGATGTCGGAGGATTCTACTCTTCTCTTTCAAGGGAAAATTGCGATTAACTGCTATGAGTGGTTCGGTCGCTGTATGGCTTTTCAGCACAGAGAAAAACAAAATCGAAACGTCCTGGACAGAAATCCTCCCAACAGCCAGCCTCATACTGTGAGTTTCCGAACTTGCTAGCAAATCGACACTTCGCCGCCAATGGGCTGCCCAGCTCATTAATTGTTTCTTCCCACCTTCCAATGATGAATGCCACTAGCAAATGAGATTACTGCCTTGCGAAGTGGACAAAGTTTGATGGCTCAATTTTGGAAAGGTGTTCAGAGAAAGCACTAACAAAAGTCAACACGCTACATTTCCCAGGATGAGCGAGGAAATTAGTGAAAAAACCCGTGCAGAGTGATATCTTCCTTGTAGAATTGAGTACTGGCCAGAAAACATAATCTTTTACGGCAATTCTGCTGCGGTTTGTCTCCACTAAAGATAGTGGGTACCGGGTGAAATTCAAGAAGTTGCCATAACCATTCAGTTACCCTACACACCCAAGGCTGCGCTTTTGGTGGCACATTGCCATTTAGGACAACTGTTACCATGTCTCTGTCGAACATAAGGCCGCGTTCATAGCTTGCGACCATGAAGAAATGCAGAAATGAAGAAATGCGGAATCTGCGGAAATGACGAAAAGCATTGTATACATATCGATTTGAAGAAATGCAGAAATGCGGAAACTGCAGAAGTGCGGAAAGTGCAGAAATGACGAAAAGCATTACATACGTATCGATTTGAAGAAATGCAGACGAAACTGCAGAAGTGCGGAATCTGCAGAAATGCAGAAATGCAGAAATGCGGAAACTGCAGAAATGACGAAAAGCAACCGATACGTATCGATTTTCCGCACTTTCCGCATTTCTGCACTTCTTCACGGTCGCAAGCTATGAACGCAGGCCTAAGACAGTCTATCAATCAACACAATCTTCTACAGTTCTTAAACAAATCTCGAAAACTAGAAAAACCCATTGTGATTTGACTGGGATCATTGCACGGGAACAAAGTTTTAAAATCGAAACAAAAATATTGATTCTACCAGTGCTTCCACTTCCATTACCTGCGAGCATAGCTTCTTCAAAACAAAGGTACGATTGCCAGATCATCGCACCTACATCAATCCGAAGTCCAACTGCAGATAGCGCAGCTTCAAACTTCTAAAATTGGAAAAAGCTGCTAACATGATTACTTGCTTGTGATATAGAATTGCCTGCTTAAAACATAGAACTAGAGATGAAGTATAACCTCCGAATTTCCAGAGGTACAGATGAACATATAAAGAAAAAGTGATAAGAAGACAATTACCTCTCTTGCAAACTTGGGTTCAACACCACAGGCCCACTGAACAAGTTCTAT